ACATCTTCAGCTAGATCAGGGTGCTCAGAGCTCTGGGGAAAACTGTTAAGTCCTTAAGATTTAATTGTTAGAATCAATATTCCCCAAGGACACCAAAATCAGTGTTTCTCTTTTGGCTTCCAGAGAGGAAGAGGATTGTGAGAGAGACTGAAGTTCTGGGAATTTTTTTGTCCAATCTGTCTTTCAGGTGGTCTTCCAAAAATACGGTGCTGACAATATTCTTCCCTGTGGAAGACCCAGATAGCCTGTGGGAAGAGACACAAAAAAATGCCCACCCTGTAATTCTTCCAACAACTGTATCGGCAGTAGTGGTATTGTGTAGGATAACACATAAACTAACCTAGTAACTCCTGACACAGTGAAAGGGATAAAAAGGGGGGTAGTGGCATAATAGAAACAGTAAGCTCTTTCTGAGTTGTAATTTCATCTGTAAAGCTATACTAGTGATAAATTTCTGGTTTAAGGTTTTGCAAATACAACACAACTTTCTGTAACATGGACACCTGAGAAGGTAGCTTTCGCTCGGTAAGCATATGAGCGGTATCTCTGGAATGTGATAGAAAAGCACTGATGCATTTTAACGGAAACTTGGCAGCAAAATATATCAGTAAAGCATTAGGTGTCACTTTCTAAGAAAGGACTCTTCTTAACAATTAAATAAAATGACTGCCGTACAAATCTGTGGGGATAAAATGTTTCTGTGAGTCTTGTTATGCTCTAATAAGCTTCCTGTTATAAACAACCTTGTCTAGCAAATATCATTGTGGCTGTCAGCAATTATGAGTAGGCTTAAGAGATGTGATTCTTTTACCACTTAAAGAATCACAGTGTCTCTTCAGTGCCTATGTATTTAGTAATTAATGGGCTTCCTGGTAACTTGCTACATGGTGAACTGCAATGGTTATGAGGTTATGGTTAAGTGGATGCTGCCTTGCCAAGCTATTTGGTTAAACTGGCGAATTTACGATCTTTCAGTCACCTTGCTACATCACTCCCCTTACCTTCAGAGAGGGATCACCTTCGTCCCAGGATAGATCTGATTGCGTTCATGATTGACATCAAGAGCAAGTACAGGTAAAAGAAGGGCAAAAATATGAGGGGGAAAACTGATATTCTTTCTTGGATTGATGGCTAAATCTACTTTTTTTTTTTTTTTACTGTGTCAGAATTGCTGAATAGTGGATTTCAAACTCAAGGCTTGCTGTGGTGGGAAAGCTCTGTAATATATACAGTGGTTTTCTGGCCTCCAGCAATGGATTAGGACTGAAGCGCTCTGTCCAATAACATGCCTGTTGCCTACTAAGTCACCATAGCAGAGAAGGCAGAATTTATTCCTGGAGATCCAGACGGGATGATACGAACTGAGCTTTGGAAAGACACTGTCTGTAAAATTAGATGGAAACAATGGTGATGCTGTTAAGTTCTGTAATATGCGGATGGCTGATGCACTCTGGGCAGTGCCACCTAATAACCAGCCAGTTGCTGCGTCTGTGTCCCCAGTTCACTGATACTGCTGGTCAAGTGGGATCAACACTACAGATGTCTCTAGGCAAAAGACTAAGGTCTGCAGAGATTGATCCCTTTTCTTTCATCATGTGCTCATCTTTGTAGAAATTATGTTAGTGTCCCCAGGCCATAAGTAAAGACTTGCTAAGGCACAAAAATCAGTGTTTTATTACTTACTTTACTTGCGACTGATGATCCTGGGCTCTCATTTACCAAAAATGACAGGCCCAGCTGCATACTTACAGCACAGATGGTGCTGCAGAAATGTGTGGGCTAGCTCTTCTGAAAGAGCCAAAGTAGTGCTGAAGTCTCGTTGGATGCTAATGAATTCTGATGCTTAGTGCCTGCAAATCATGGAGGTCCCCTTTCAAATTAAATCTAACTGTTGAGCCTTGGGTAGAAAGGATATGTTATGGATTATTAAACAGTGGGCATTACAGAGGCCTCTGCTGCCATGCATTTAGCATAGAGCATAAGTCTGACGGCTCACAGATCAGCAGATGTTAACATCATTGTTTTTCTAATTGTGCTTCTGAAAGCTATTCCCCTTTGTCCTTACGCTGCACTGGTTTTACCTCCCTGTCCAACTGTATTGTCTGTGCTTTTCTGACAGTTTGAAGAATGTCGAAGCTTCCCTAGCTCATGTGGATGCCAACTTCTTCCTGGGGAAAGTGTGCTTTCTTGTCACTGGGGGTATGTATGGCATCTGCCCTGTTCCTCCTCTTCAAGCAGCACAGCTCACTGTTGCTTTCCTTAAAACAGGGCAGTGACTTAACTTGAAACAACAACTAAAAAAAAAATACACAGCAGCTTTGTTGAAAGCTTTGTTTAAATTATATCTGGAGTCATCTGCCTTTTTGTATGTTTTCTTAGATAAAATATGGGTTTCACCAGTTAGACCTCTCTTCTCTGTCCCTAATCCCTGAATGTGATTTGTGTTACTGATTTTTATTTTTTTTTCATGTGGCACTGCAGAAGTCTGTTCTGTCTGCTCTTGCAGATCTCTCTTAATGGTAATCTTAATGAGCAGTGAGGAGCATATGATACTGTGGTAATAAAATGAATCTAAATGGATGACCTACTAAACTATTAAGCATAGTTTTAATACGGGGCTGGTATCCCTGCTGTGTACTGTCTGGCCCTGTTGTGGCTCTAATCTTTCTCTCCCTAACCTTTCCCTGCTTCAAGCAGAGAGGGTGCTTTCCTGCATACCCTCCCTACTTCAGCTCTGAGGAATGGAAGGGGCTAGACCATACTGCTCAGTGTTAGAACAGAGTTGCTGTGTCCCTGGAATTTGAGGGTCAGGACACATAATTCTGGAGTAAGAAGGAGTCTTAGCATTGTCTTGTGCTATGGCTTTTGAGCTATTCGCTCCTGAGGGAGCAAATTCCTTGGAGACACGACCACTCTGTGATACCACATGAGCCAGGAGGGCTTCTGATTAGTGAATGGAAGATTCTGCCTGTGCTGATAGTGTACTGATCCCTTATCCAAAATGTTGATGTTACAGTACTCAGTAATGTGGTGATACTCTTCCTCCTGTCAGTATTATGAAAGACTTTTGTGCTAATTTGGTTGCGAATCTTGTACCATTCTGTTTGTATCGCTTACTATTGCCTTACATTCTATGGTGCTCTCAAAACTGTCTCTGCATTGTTTTGTGGATGTGGAATTTCCTGGTACTTTTCTTTGGTGAATGTTGATTATGGGGCTTGTAATGTGGAAAAACTTTTTCTGTAGTTGGCAGGGTGAATTACTGCAGCGTAGACATGAATGCCATCTGGAAATTGGGAGAAGTCTACTGCAGTCCTGTGCTCTTCTGTGAGCTGGAGGTATGGTGTTTATTTGGTGTCTGAAAGGATTTGTGAATTCCACTGCTTTCTGATCCTTAGAAACATCATTACATTAGCAAGAAATATATGTACGTATGCTACTGTTTTACATAAGTGTCAGAGACCAGACTCTTTCTACAAGAACAGTAGAGGTACAGGAGCCTGACTGTCCTTGAAATGAGTCTTCTGGATTATCTGATCTGCTCCTTCCTGTGCTATTTCAAAGCCTCAGGAAGACAAGTCTAAATTAGCAAAGGCTTCTCTGATATGCAAAGCCTTGGTAAACCTGTTCCTTGAGGCATTTTCTCTTCCTGGGAGCCCCTGAGCTGCCCATGTAATGCTTCCTGTTAGCCAGGCTTTGTTGTTTCACAGACTGTTTTGCCATCTGATATGCCACTCTTTCCAATTACCTGCTTGGTCTGAAAAGCTGGAGGGAGGGTTTGGCATTCAGTGGTAGCACACTTCACTTTTCTGTGTACTCATCATTCCACCCTCAGAGACTGCTTCCCTACTAGCAGGTAATATCTGTGCCTTTGGAAACCCCTTCAGGATTTTCAGCTGACAGCGCTGTGCCTTCCCTAACATTAGGGCCCAAACATTGGGCCTCTCTGGAATTTTCTGTAGCTAGCAGGTCTGAACCATACTTAATGCTGGTTCCAGTTCTTTCTTTTATTGCAGCTAAGTGCTGCTTTTCTTCTTTTCTATTGGTTAAATAATTTCTTCATTTTTGTTTCCAGTTGGAAGGGATACGAGTTGCCACCGCTCAGCGACTTCTCCGGATGTTACAGATCTGTGCTGGACACATACCAGGAGTTTCTGCCTTGTCCTTTGGCACACTGATGAGGAACTCTGCTGATGACTAGCTTCTCATTGTGAGAATTCAGACAGATTCATCATTCTTCTTTGACTTCAGTCATTCAAACTACTGCAGTTGGAATCACATTAGGAAGCTCTTTTGCCTTGTCTTGACCATGACTTGTCATGATCACTCATCCAGAATTGTTTCTAGTTGCTAGTCTCTCAAGAAAAGCTTGATTCCTGTTCCATGGATAAGGTATAGGTGCTAGGGGGAGGGCAGTTTGAATTGGGGATTCCTATCCATTATTACATCTGAAACCGATTTCATGATCAAGTGAGTTTCACCCACTTTGCTGATGGCCAAGAGCTGTGTGTTTTACTGAGAGAATATCAGAAGAACCAGACCACTATGCTGCATGCCACATGTCACGGTTGTGTATCTTAGTTTCAGTGTCCCTGAAGTAAGCAGGTAGAAGAAGGCACCAGGCTCCTGCTTCCTTTTTATTGAAATATAGCACCTTGGACTAATGTGAAACCTCACTGCCAGGTTTTGTCTCCCCACCAAGAGTATAATGGGAAAGGAAGGCTGTCCTGCAGCTTCTAGATAGACTGCAGTTGGCAGTTAATGATCCAGCTGTGTGAGCATCTGCCCAGTGAAAGGCTCAGTATTTCCATGCCTGGTACCTAATTGGGGAGGAAGGCACTAAAGAAGATAATCTAGCACTTTAGCTTTCTTTTAGATCTTTAAAGAAAAAGGCTCAATCTCTCAAGCCCTGGATAACCCTAGTCTTTGCTCGTGATTTGGACAGCTGTGGACTGCTTTGCTGCAAGTCAGTCTCTGCAGACCAAGAAATAATACGCCAGAGGTGAAACCTTTGAGTCAAGGAATGAAGAGGTGAAAGGGCTTGTAATAGAGTGTAGCAGCACTTAGTGCATTATAGGCATGTCAGGCAGGCCACAGGAGGAGAAACACGCAGCCAATAGTGGAAATCAATCTTTGTTCTCAGAGTGCCACAAAATAGCTTTTCTCTCTCTCGTGCCCTTAACAAGCCAAATCTAAGATTAAGTGATGTTGCTGGCCTCCAGCAAGGCTCTGCAAACTGGGCAGTCCAGCTTGAGAGAGCTGCATGACTGCACTTGCCCCTCCAGCACCCATAGGGCTGAGGCTTTGCATTCCAGGGCTGACCAGAGATGGAACACAGCAGACTGGACTATAGCAACATACAGAAAACACCTATCTCTTGAAAGTTGCACATATGCTGTGTATAATCTCTTAACTAATAGGTTCTTAGCAGTAATTCATGCCTTATTCTTACTGCAAGTCACTAGTGTGCTTTGGAGTTCTATGTTAATAAAATGTATAATATTTAATAATTATTTGTATACTTTTGGTTAGGTATGTAGTACAGACTGTAAAGCCTACAAACACTTGCCCCAGTTTGCCCTGGCGGCAACGCTGGTCCTTGTTGGCAATTTGAACTTCCAGTTGGTGGGCTGCAGTTGCCACTTCAGCCACGTGGTGGTGGCAAAAGCTTTCCAAATACAATCCTTCCTGTGCTCTGGGTTGAGCCATCTTCCAGAACACAGTGTTTCTTGAAAGGCTGTTTCTTACCCAGAATTGCATGCCAGGTAGAAATGAAGTCTAAAGGGAATGTATTAAGCTCCCCTCTGGTTTAATTTATTTAATCCCTAATAGTCAGCTTTAATGTTCCTAGGCACAGAGCTCTAACTGTGTGTGCTGTTTTGCTTAGCTTGTTTTTGACATCTGTCTGTGAGCAGCAAAAAGCAGAAAGCAGCACTGCAGGCTTAATCAGCTGTGAGTGTTGGCAATCGTTGCAAAGACAGCTCAGCAAGGCACAAAGCCTGTATCCTTGCTCAGAGGACACACAAATCCAAGCTCCAGTTGTATTGTTGCTGGTGAGGGAGGGCTAGGTTGTTTGTCAGCTGGAACAAAAGGAACTAAACCATTCAGCTGTGTTGTGGTGCCCAAAAGGGCTGGACTCTGGCTAAAACCCAAAGGAGGAAGACGTGTGCAAACTCTCATGGCTGTGTAAGAAGGATTGGGAGCTTAATGGGCATGTCCTACTTTCAGCTAGCTTTGTGGTCCTGAAGGTACTAGCCAGGACTTTGCCACCAGAGAGGAGCAATCATGCTGAAAAACAAGTTTCTCTGTTGATTATGCTGTATCAGCTTTGCTCTCGCTTCGGGTCCCTCAAAATAAATGAGACCATGGTTTAGAATAGACTGGTTTCAGTTTGCTCTTGATGTGCAGGTGCAGTCTGGGGGAGGGAAGGAAATGCTGCGGCATGAGAGGAGCCATTCTTTCGTGTCCTCCACAACTGCTGTAAGGTAAGGAGACTCTTCCGTCTCCTAGATTGCTCTCCAGTTGCCTCTAATAGCTATTGGACTCAGGTAAAATCCCTTCAGCCTCAAGAGTAATTTTGCTGTGCTTTCTTAACTGGTGAAAATGAAACTTTCTTTGGTTCACCCAAAATGCCTTGTAGCAACCTGCACGTGCTACTGTCCATTCCTGCACCTTCAAATACAGGGTTTTTTCCACTGCTGTGTTTCAGATGTGGTATTTATTTCCTTCTACTACTTTCAAAGAAGAAAGATGCTGTTTGTACTTCCTACAGGTGCCTGAATCCCAGCTGGTACAAAATAAAACCTAGTTCCTTAAAAGCAACATCTTGTTTCAGCCTGGGGCAAATATTTTTCTTACTCTTAGGAAAAAGTCTTTACTAGAACTGGCAGGAGAAGTGGAGCGTATATAAGAATATGACACTGTGTCTCGGGTCCATCATGTTTTACAACCGAAAGTAGTTGGGACACATCTAAAGCTACAGCTTTGACTATGTAAATACCTCTAGGAACTGTCAGCTATTTAGACAGGCCATAACACTGCCCCTACCAGAGAAGACAAGGCAGCTGAGGATATCTTTCATCTGGATGGAGTAGCCCTGGCTCATGTTTGATAAAGGTCTTGTGAAAGGAGTACTTGGATTGGGATCAGAGGCATGGAAGGCCTGAAGCCGAATTAAGGCTAGTGACTCAGATTCTGTTGTGTTTAAACATCATGAAAGAGCTTGCCAAGCTGGCTGAAATCTAAACTAACAGAAATATTTTGGAGTTACTTGCTTTCTCTTCCTCTCCCTGTTGCCACAGTTCCCTATCCTTGTAGAGATTTACAAAGAGGAATCTTCTGCTCTGTGACAAAAGTACACATGAGCGTTGCTGGTTTGACTGTTTCAGTTTGTGGATGTGTTTTTGTTTGTCAGCTATGTCAGTGAAGTTAGTTTAAAAGCTGTTTAATATAGACCTTGAACCAGTCACACTGGTGTAAGCTTCAGTCATGCAGTGCCTTTTTTTTTTTTTTTGGGAGGTGGAACTGAATGAGGCTGTAATAGGGTCTCTTCTGCTACAGCAGGTTGACTCACAGGATATTGCCTTCAGTCTAGTCACTTGAAGAAGATTTTGTATCCTCAACCTGCTAGCTGAGCTGCTCATGGAGGTGCTCTGTGAGAGATTTCAGCACAAATCAGTTTGGTTGGCATTACCTGTTGGGATTATAGTTCTCTGCTAGCCCAGGTTTTCCAGGGGAAGGGTGTTTTGTGGGGTTTTTTTGCTGGCTTTGCCACACCAGCAGTTAAATCAAACCAACTTTTAAGCGTGGTAAGATGTGATATGCTCGGTCTATACTAACAGGAGAGAAACTCTGTGTACTGATACAGGGCCTATTGTGAAAGATCTTTTTGTCCTGGAACAAAGATCAGAGATAAATCCAGCCCTGGGGATTTATCTGTCCTTCCAAACCTTGAAACTGGTGGTAGAGGTTTAGATTCAAGGCCACCTCTAATATTTGCTTTGGGGACTGGTTAAAACTGGGTATCTCTCATTGCCAAGACCTGTAGTTCGAAGGAGCTGGCTGTGTTAGGTCAGCAGTGGCGCTCAGCAGCTGTGGTTACTTTAAGAGTTGCTTGGTAGCTCTCATCGTGACCGCTGTTCGCAGCAGCAGCGGACAAGAAGGGACTCCTGCTCTGCTGCCTGGAGCTAACCTGCAGAGCTGTGGCAGAGGTACCTGCTCTGCTGGCAAAAGCAAGGGAGACTCTTTCTTCTGTGGGGTTTTTAACTTGTCTTGATTTTGCAGGAGTACTGGGCTTTGCTCTGGCCAGATTCCAGCTGCTCCATTCAGCTGGCCCGGATCCCCTGGCAGCCTCCTCTGTGCGCTGAGTGTTCTCCAGTTCCCACCCTAAGCTGGTGTGCAGTGTTGCTGTGGGCTGCTGAACAACTGCCACTTTCCATTCAGTGACCAGCTGTCCTTCACTGGTGGGGAAAAGTGATTTATATGCAAGAGAAAGCAATAGCTGGCACAGCCCAGAGCTGGGAGCCAGAAACACTGGGCTTGTTTCGCCTCTGTGGCTGATTTCTTGCATGACCCTGGGCACGTGTGTTAAAATTCACTGTGCCTGGCTTGCTCTGCTGCTACAGCAGGAGCTGCCTCTGCTGGAAGAGTGTGATGAGGGTGAAGTGGCATTGCTTTGGGGTCACAAATCTGGAATTGGGTGGAAACATTCCGAAGAAACCATTTTTTCCTTATTAGCAGAGTTTGATTTTTACCTAAGCTCTGGAGGAGAAGGGTTCGGCTGGGACCTGCCCGCCAGGCACCTCCTGAGATCGGCCGTGTTCTGTGCTCCTTCCCCGCCTGCCTCTGCCGCCAGCAGGGAGGCTGCCTGAAACTGAGCTGCAATCCTTCTCATAAAGCATTGCGGCATGGTTGGGTTTTGTTGTGAACTGGAACAAAACTACCCTCTGAAACGTTGGAATTCCCCACACAGTTCCATCATCCTTGAATTGGCCAGTGGGAGAAATGAAAGTTTCTGGATCTCCTTCCTCACTGTTAAATATTAATATGGCATGGCGATGGTAGGGAGGATGGCATCCCCTCGGGTCAGCTCTGCGCAGAAGGGGCCATCTTGGCTGTAAAGAGCTGGCGTGTGTTAGAGGTTGGGCGCAGGGGACTCGGGAGTGATGTGACTTGCTCAGACTCCTTGGCAGCTGAGTAGCG